ATGTGTACTTCTGTGGATCATCAAACAAAAATAGATTCATGAAATGTAAAATCAACTTTTGTGACCTTGTAAATTAAGATCCCCTGGCCCCTGTTCCTTTCCCTAGAACCACCTGTCCCTCTTAGCTATATAGTGGGGCCTTGGCCTGAGGAAAAGATGGCCCTGGATTCTTGGACTAATTAAGAGGTTCACTATATTCAATGCTGGTTTCCCTTCCTGAAATATCAACTGGTTGATTTCTCTCTGAGTTACCTTTCAATTAATTACAGCACTTACAGACCTTAACAGACTTGAGCATCAGGAATTTAGAACAAAAAACACTTGAATGAAAAACCCCCTGTAAAAATCCCCCTGTTCTTGAAGATCTGTAGGTGCTGTACTAAACAGGTTTGGGCACCAAAGCTCAGGAAATGGTTTGGAAAAAAAAAGAATTCTGGTCAGGGAAAAGTCAGGAAATTTTATTTTGAGTCAGGGAAAACTGAAATTTTGAAGAAAAGTCAGAGAAAATTAAAATATAACACAGGTGAGTTAATACCATTCAGGATTCCAATATTGGAAGAAACATTTGAGGTCAGTGTGATGACGAAAAAGGCAAATTTGTTGAAAACTTATAAGTCTTAAATGAATGAGTGAAAAGAATGGCTGTAAGGGCAAGTAGGCTGAGGGTGGCGGGTCTAAAACACAAGTCACGGGTCATTGTTTTACCAATACTGGAACAACCTTAAACCTTTACTTATACTAATCTTAAGCCTAAACATTGTCTTAGTGTAGTATTTAGGTCTAAAACATTACCTTAGTGTAGTAGTTAGGCCTAAGGTTAGCATTAGGAGGGGGTTAGGGTTGTTCCAGTATTGGTAATTAAAACAATGACCTGTGACCTGTGTTTTAGACCCACCGGGATGAGGGCCACTGCTGCATCATAAATTTCATATTTATTTGGTCAGGAAAATTTTAATTTTATCAGGGAAAAGTCAGTCAAAAGTTAGGGAATTCTGAAAACTGATGTCTGTACATGTCTGCATGTGTCAACTTTGAAATAATATTTATAAAACAGTTTTATGTAGAGATCAATCACTGGAAATTTTGCACTGAGTAGTCTAAGAATCTGGCCAATAAAATTACATGCAAGTGTCCCTCGAGCCCCCTTTTCCTTGTGCCATTCCAGGCTCTGCTGCCTAGAAGGAACGGGTGACTCTGGGGAGAGAGGCCCCTTGCCCTCACCCTCCCCCTCCCTCCCCCTCCCCTCCTCCTCCCTGTGTGAAAATTGAGCTAAAATTGTTAGTAGGGATTGTAGCAGTTGTAGAATGTGCTGAAAAAATAACCTAGCAAAGAGGACAGAAATTTCCTATAACAAAGGGTTAATGGAACGGCAACATAATATTTGGAGAGGTGGCCGAATGACACTAGTTTTTTGAGTCCCAGACCCCTATGTGGGCTAAGGAACACAATCCTGTAGGTTACATGACGGAGCACAAATGTCAACATGGCCGACCCGCTCAAGGAAGTGAACATGTCCATGCAAAGTATTGAGCACTGAAACAACCATAACACGTTGTGATTATAACGTTTTGCTTAGGAAACATGTGGTTAAGAGTTTGGTGTGCCTTGGTCGCCGCTCAGCTCGGTTTTGGAGCTTATGGTGTGATCGTCACAAAGTTTGCCAAGGACAGCAAAGCAGATCCTCTGGTGTTTTGCCTGTTGCGTGACGCGGGAGCCTTTCCCGTTATGTTGTTGACAGCGTTTCTCGTCGAGGGAAAAGTTAGCATGCCTTCTCTGAGGTAAGCTAGACTACAAAAAACACAATTTAATGTATCGCGGGATTTATTTCTCGCATATTAGTCCCACTTATCGTTGTTAAAAATACATGTATCTCGAACAAATTTCCATAGAGACAAATGATAGCTCTCGAGAATGCTCAAAACGGCTGGGAGTGGTTATTCCACACTTCCGATTAAAAATAATTTTTACGATCTTGTTTACTTTTCATGTTTCTGTGATATAAAAATTGTTTGAAGTAATTNGAATGCTCAAAACGGCTGGGAGTGGTTATTCCACACTTCCGATTAAAAATAATTTTTACGATCTTGTTTACTTTTCATGTTTCTGTGATATAAAAATTGTTTGAAGTAATTTTAAATCTCTTCATAAATTGCAGTTTGAGGGCCAATCCATTCTATTAGAAAATCACCCCCACCATGGAAGTGAAAAGTCAATTTTTTTTGCTAAGAAAAAAGATGCAAGTACCTATAAAATTGCATTTCTCATTTATGAGAAATGTATAAGTGGAAAGATGCAATAAATAGCTGGCACTAATATGTGATTTGCAATAATACCATGCCGAAGTGATCAAACATTATTACATAGACTTCTGAGGAGAGAAAATACTAACCAACAGTGCAAGGATACGTGGCTTGACTAATAGATGTTTTCTGCTCTAGAATTTAATCCAGTGTGAATTAAAAGCGATCTTGATGATGGTTTTGACAATTTTCCCTTTAAAGAACTCCTGCAGCTGGTTAAATGTACATGTAGGCTTATTCTGTTCTCTCTAGTCCAGTATAGTTCGTTGTTGAGAAGAGACGGCTGGACGTGTGAGCAATAAAACACAGGATCTTGTGTACTAAAGGGACCCGTGGTCGAGTGTTTGATTGATACCCTACATTGATACCCTTGATCGACATCTTAATCTGTACTTGATTGACATCCCGATCAATACACGTTCAACACTTGATCGACACATGATCAACAGTCAGTTGATAGTTGTCCGAGTGTCGACCAATTCATGTGCATCGATCAAAAATTAGTCAACTGTCAACCAAGATGTCAATGGAGTGTCGATCGAGTGTCAACCGAGATGTTGATAGAGNCGATGATCATTCTTCACTTTCAAAGTTTATACAGTCGACTCCTGATAACTTGGACTCTCACTTACTCAAACCTCACACTGCTGTAACTCTAACCAAATCAACTTACCCTGGATTTCCGTCATATATTCCTTTACTCTAATTTTACTGTCAGTAACAGGGTGCCTCGATGACCTAATTGCCCCCTTGATAACTTCAGCCTGCTTCTTTGTTTTGTTTTGTGTTATGTAATATGCAGTGTTACATTCTGATTTATACAGTAATTTAAAAAATGTATTGTTCCATTTGTATTTGCCTTCTCAGGTTGATTAAACCATATCAAAGAAATACAGTAAGCAATGTTCTTTTCCCTACTTCCAGTCATTTGTTCTTGACTCCCAATAACTCTGACCTTTTCAATTTCCCTTGAAGGTTTGAGATATCGGTAACCAAAAACAACAAAAAACATTGAAAGTGTGACTGATTAAACTGTCTTTCCTACTGCTGAGGAACTTTTTGTCTCTCTTATAGAAGTGTCCCGCTATTGATGGTCCTGGGACTTACAGGTATGTTTGTTGGGCAACTGCTCTACCTCCTTGGAATCTACTTAACAAATGCAAATGTGGCGTCCATGTTTCAACCAGCAGTTCCTGTTTGGAGTACCTTTCTGGCCATGATATCTGGAGTAGAGCCTCCTCCAAAGCTAACAAGGTCGCATGGTGCGGCCAAAATTCTTGGTATACTTTTAGCAGTTACTGGAGCTGTCATAATGACACTTGGAAAACTGAGAAGTAATTCCAGAGAGGAATCTTGGTTAGTGAGTGGTACATCTGTTGGCAGTCAGTTTCTTGGATGTATGTGTTTACTTGGCCAGACATCAGCCACAGCTGTGTATTACATCATTCAGAAGAAGTACATATTTAACCAACCCTATTCGACATGGAAAACTCAGCCCATGGCTGTCACTGCTTGGAGCTACTTCTTTGGGGCAATTTTTATGGCCCTTGCCTCCTTAACCTATGCTAACCAGCCAGAGAAGTTTACAAGTTTTTCCATGGAAGCCTTTTATTGTTTAGTGTATGCAATTTTGATTACCTCGTCAATGTGTTATTTACTTCTCTCATGGTGTAACATGCAGGTGCCATCAACCATTGTCACAGCCTCCTGGCCTCTTCAAGGGTTATTCTGTGCAGTACTGTCATTCATATTTCTGGGAAGGTCATTGCAGCTGTTGGAGTGTTTTGGTGGTGGTTTCATAGTGTGTGGACTTGCAGCAGTTTTGTGGTCAAACTACAAGGAGGAGAAAGAATCAAATGTTCAAGACAATGAAAAGGATGCAAAAGATATCATGACTTACCATAATTCGAACTGGAAATTCTCAGAAGCTGTTTCTCAGGGTTATGTGGTGGTCCCAAAAGATGATGACTAACTTGATATACCGGTACATTTAACTATACCTTTAACTTGATATACATTTAACTAAAAATTCTGCTTCCAGTATTGTGACTGAAAATATACATTTTGAAAAGGTTTCTTTATCCAACCTGTTTCTGTGTATAATTTCTAAATTTGGTGGCTTCTGTCGATCTTCATCAGAGCTACAATGTACATGTACATGTACAACTGCCACAAGAGGCTCTTCTTGGAGTCATGGGACTCCACTGTGGACAGTGATGTTGTTAACAAGATGAAACCACACCCTCATGCTTACACACTGTTGATTCAAAATTTGAACAAAAAGACAGCACACAGGCTTGTACACTGTAGCACAAGCAGTAATGAACCTTTTTACATTGTAGCTCTGATGAAGGTGGACAAATGCCGCTGAAAATTTGGAACACAAAAACACAGATAAAATTAAGAAAACTTTTCAAATAGTAAAACATGGAATATACTCTGCATTTGTTTCTGTTTAAGTTCTGTCAGATCATTGTGTCCTTATTGTACCCACTAGAACTCTATGTTCTAATGCAGTTGTAAATACAGTGGAACCTCCTGTAAGCTGGGGAGGTGTTTGCTATTGCGAGGTTAAAAAATACTTCTCTACGTAACCAAATGGTTGATTATATTTAATACAAGCAAGAAAAGTGTTGTGTTGGTTGGTAGGTTAGTTTGGATGAATGGCAAATGGAGAAAAACATTTTATCTGTGGTCCAGTAGTATGGATAGTAC